AAGAAAGCATGCATGAGGAGTGAGGGGGAGTGTAGACACGCCTCCCCCCAAATGATCCCTCTTTCTGTCATAGTTTTTCCTAATTACTTTTCACAGGAAGCCTCAGAATACCTGAGTCTGAAAAGATCAGGTTAACACTTGTAAATTTGTGACAATCACTACAATGTCCCACATCTTAAGTTTTTTTTTTTAATGCAATTTATCCACTAATAGTATTGCACATTAGAGCTGCATAATCTTCCAGCTCTAGGGAAGAATAAAAACATTTGGCTTATCCTAAGATTCCTTTCCAAGGTCATAAACAAGAAAGCCCCTCCAAATCGTGACACATAATCTCCTTTTTGTATCCAATACTCTTCCATATTCTAGTCTTAAGTATTACACTTTACCCCTGAGAATAGGGGCTGGGAAAAGGTGATGAAATGCTGGAAAGGAACAGTCCTGCCCATTTTCTCAAGAGCCTTTTGTATTCTAGCAGATCTGTGAGGTTCTTTCATTTTTGCACATGACACTGTAGGCTTAGTTCTGAGAAACTGGGAAAAGAGATAAGTATTTCTCAATCAGAACTAACAGCATACATCTTTTCCCTTAGCATGAATTGAACTTGCAGTGGAATGGGAGGGCTTGAAGGAAGGAGGAGAGAAGGGACTATATTGAATAGGTATTAATAAATTTATTAGATACTTTTCACAATCAGATAACTTTAAAATGTTATTTTTATCTTTCTAAGGACATACGCCTTAACAACATCAAAATTTAGTCATAAATTTGAAGATATTGCCCAATAAGTTTATATATATATATATTTGAAATAAAAAAATTGTTAGCCATGTTTTTTTGCTCCAGGATGTGTGGCCATTCCAGGCTGTGGGCCCTGGATATGCACACAAACAAATGTGTGTGCTCTGAAGCCCCCGCACATTGTAATAAACACAGCTGCATTTATTTGAGTATGTGCTCCCATGTACATGTAAAACACATTCAAACAAACACACTCAGCAGATTTATTTGATGTGCAATGGGGCAATTATTCAAATAAACATGCTCAATACAATTATTTGAATCTTACATTGCATGTTCATCACTCACAGCACTAATACTAGAAGAGGGGGAAACACCAAAGAATTTACATGGGGAAAATATATGTGAAAACAATGTTATTGTAGATGTTATAAGGAAGCTAAAGCTGTGGCTCCCTTCCTAACTGAAATACAATGACTTTGTACTCAGTGGCATTTGTTTCTAATGATGATTAATTATTTCACTGACTTGATCATTACATCAGAATGACTGCAATATTTGGATTCATATAATAGCAAACTTTACAAATCTGAAGCAGATAGGGATGTGACATCTCTATATTTCAAAAGCATAATAGTTCTTTCCAGATACCTTACATCAAAGGGACACTGGTAAATTATTATGGCTTACATACATAACTATAAATTTAAAACTTTATACATATAGAAAAACATTCCTACATCTTAAAACATTAAAAAGTCACAGATGACTTGTGATCATTTTATATATTAATAAATATTACAATATATATGAACACATCACAGATCATATTGGTGAACCAAGAGGCTGCTAATGCCTCTCCTCAGTATACCGACATAACCTAATATACTAAAATGGGAAGGGGCTTTTAGTCACTGAATATGCATCGTCAAAGAAAGATGAAGACCATACATGGCTTGTGCCCATCATGAAAAAGATTCATACTGAAGGCTTAGCTTTGGTTTTTATTCAATTAAATTGTCAAACTGTGCACAGTGAACTTTTTTTTAGAACTTGAGACATTTGTGATGTTGGCTGTTTAAATCTTTGTTACCTTCGCTGTGAATTGAAATTGTACATATTTAGTAAATCATGCAAACAAAACAAACTTTTTAGACAATATTTTTATTGGAGAGTTTTCTTTTCCTGTATCCATGTTAAAAAAAAAAGACCTCCTTTCCCAAAATAAAAATGTCAATACTAAATTTAAAGAAGTATAAAGGAATGATTGCTTCCTTTAGAGCAAAATATTTAAATAAACATGGAGAGAATTGGCAACATGTTCTTTTTGGGCTAGTAGGCCGTGTCCAATTTTGTGGGTTAAGGTTTCAGAGGGCCTCTGTTTCAGGGTTGAAGATGATACATTAATCTCTGTATTAAACAAATGCTCTTAAGTAACAGGATAAATCCCTCAGTCTTCATTTGTATATGAAGTGCAGCATTAATCAGAGACATGACATTGAGATGACATGATGCTGAATATGCCACAAGCTAAACTTCCTCTATTAAAACAGTCACCACCTACCACCTATAATCTAGTGTGACATATTAAAATACTCCAAAATACAGAGCATGGAAAATGAACATCATCATTTCCATTTGGCCTTGAGAAGAACATGACAAAGATTCTAATAATTTTAGTCAAAGAAAATGATGATTTAAAAATACATGAAGATTAAAGTGGTGACAAATGATCTTTTAAGTATTTCTAATTGGTCTTCCTCATTCATAGCTTTGATTCCACAGAAATTGCAAATCCCGAGGATCCTGACTTGTAAGTGCACCCATCAGCTTTCTTTCACTCTACAGAATGTGCCTGTTAGGTTTGAAAGGAAGGATAAGACCCCCAAATGTTAAAAATAGACTTCTTTTTGGGCAAGAAATTTAAAATTGGCAAGGACAGAATTAAGAAAGAACTAACTTCACATAAGGAAGCATTCAGGGAAAGATTGCTGCCTTGTGATCTGACCATTTTCAGAACACTCAAAAGGAAGTATAAGTGTGTGTGTGTGTGTGTGTGTGTGTGTGTGTGTGTGTGTGTGTGAGAGAGAGAGAGAGAGAGAGAGAGAGAGAGAGAGAGAGAGAGAGAGACTTTTTAAGTGTGTGTGAATGTGTATTAGTGTGTGAGAGCCTGTGTATATGTGCGAGTGTGTGTGTATATGTGTGTATGTAGCTGTGCTAAGTTTATGTGTATACATTTGAATAGATAATATCTTAAAGAAAATAGTACTCAACAGATAGAGTCTAAACAGAGGGCTTATGAGATACTTTCTATTTTGTTATCTTACAAAAATTGAAAACATTTTAAATGTTGATACTCAAAAAGTACAAAGTTCTTAAGAGAGTTTCAAAAATTATTGAGGCAATTTCTAAGGTATGCCAACAATTAAACAGAGAAAATATTAAATCAACTTTTCCTCCATCACTTGCAAAACTAAGACTTTTCATGCATGGCCTTTCCTTAAACAATAAAGAATCACTTTCATCCTTTCTTAAAATAGTTTTATTATAGAGCAAATAATTACAGCATATTCCTGTCTGGTTTTGTTGAGGGGAAGAGAAAAACAGCCTTGAAATTACTTGAAAATACAGAAGAATAAAAGAATATAAATTTAGAAAGGAGAAAAAAGAACACTACTAAGCTTGGAGGAAGCCAGGATACATTTAGTGACCACAGCAAGCTAGACCTTGGTTTTCACATGTCTTCTGAACAATATCACTTCCAACAGAAACATTTCCCAAAACTACAGTGCAGCCCAAGACCCATGTGGACACAAAGGGAGACACAACCACTACTGAGTAACCCTCAACCACTTCCTGCAATCTGAAATACTCTGTGGGGGTCTACCATCTCATTCCTGAAACATGCTTAGAAAGTATGAATGCTTAGGGCTCTGGTTAAAGGCATACTTAAGCAAGAGGGAAAAACAGAAATACATGCCACCCTGCCCAACTTGTTTAAAAAGACATGCCTACAAATTAGCCTAACTTCTAAGCACTTACCTTTCTTTTCCTCAACACAAAGTGCATTTACAATATCAAAGACAATTCCATGAAAACAGGGTCTTTTATTCACTTTGAAATAAATGGTGATGGAAGAGTCAACATAATCTTCCAGCAAGCAGAGTTTCTAGCCACAAGAACTGCTTCATGTGTACAACCTTAATACTGAAAATGAAATTAGACTAATGACTTGTACAAAACACTTTCACAGGGGTTTTCATTTATAACAGCTTATGTTGTAAATGCCTTGATGGCGGTTAACAAAATTATGGCACACTTTACGTCTATATTAAAATTGATAAAAATTTCTGTTTACCATGAATACAAACTTTTGTTTGTAACATTTGCAAAAATAAAAGCAATTAATCTACCACCCACATGTTATAGATGAAGAAATTGAGGTCTTCAAGTGCTTGAAAACATACAAGTGTTTGTTTCTACCCCGCAATAATCTGGAAATCAGCTAAACATAGATTGCCAAAACCCTAGTCCTCTGAACCAATGTTCCATACACTCTCCAAAACACCACAGTAAAATGCTCTTTCCAAATGGCCCGGGAAACAGCAAAAGACATGGGTTAGTTCCTGCAAGAAGTTCGTTCTGGTCTATAAGAAGTTTTCCATGCAAGACTGGAATGAAAACAATCTATGTTGGAAGCCCGTGTCACTCTAAATTGTCACAGCATCTGTGCCTAGTCACTTTTTGGCACCTAGGGTCTCCACAAACTGACAGCCAGAGATGTTCTCAGTTTAGAGAAATGCTCTTCAAAAATTAGTAACTGTTGCTGACACCTTTTGTTGACTTGCTTTTTTTCTAAGGCTCCTGATATCAAGGGCTTGTGGCTCCATCCAGTCTCTCCTTTAACAGTTCTGGGCTCACTTTACAAGTTCCCAGTGCAAGTCTCCCCATTAGCGTAACTGCCATGAATTCTTCATGCATTGAACAACCTCAGCTTTATCAGAGGGGAAAACAGGGCTTCAGGTATGCTCAAAGTAAACAAGGCACTTGCAGATGAACAAATCAGGAGAAGCAGAATTGATGGAAATACAAAAGGAAGGTTAAAGTAGGAGAATCCTGGACACTTCCCAGTCCAAGCCTCAGACCTTCAAATGATGATCCTTAGTGGAAATAAACTCCCAGATCATCCTGTAGCTGCCCAGGAACCAGAACCACAGATTGGGTCTCTCATCCTTACACAGATGATTTTGTTTTTAATAGCAACCGAGTGAATTGAGCAATGAGCCGAACAACCCCTTTAGTGGTAAATAGACAATATCTTCCCTTTAAGGATGTGCATTCTATAGGGAAGGTAGAAAACAAAACTACAACCTCCCAGGGGAAAAGACTGCCTAGGGGAAAAATAAAAGCTTGCAAGGAATTGGTGAGTAAGATGGAAGTGGGGCCAGGCAAACTCAGCTAGAATTTGGGGTGTCAGGGAAAGCCTCTTGGGGGGTTGGGCCTGGAGGATAAGAAGTAAGCATAGGAAGAGCTGGAACAAGAACATTTCAGGGGGACTGAACTCCAAGTGAAGATGCATGAGGCACAAACAACTTTGGCTTTGTGTAATAGAAAGGAAGTCCCCTTAGAGGGTATAGTAGAAAGGCAGGTAAGGCCAGAAGAGGGAGGCTTTTGATCAACTTCCTAGGTACCTTGATCTTACTGTCATAAGTGAGAAACTTGAATTTATTTATCTGTTGAGTTCCATACTGTACTAGTCTGGGGATTGGATTATTAACCCCATTGGATTGCCAATAGTGAATTTTGCAGCCTGAGCATTACTATTTCTCCTCTACAAATGGACAATAAAGCAAAGTTTGTGTGTTGGAATGAAGGAAAATATCATTTCTCAGACGTTTGCACCGCTTTGTACCTTGTCACAGGCAGATCTGTCAGACTGGAAAGCAGAAATTGTTTGGCCCAAAGAAAGTTTGTATTTTGGAAACTGAAGCATGAGATATGGTAAATGGGATGCTGGTGGAAGCCCCTTCCCCAGTCGGCGCTTTCCAGCCAGATCCCCATGGTTGCTAGTCTGCTCAAAACAGCTGGGCTAGAATCAGGCATGAGCAAGGGCCTCAGCCATTTCCCCTTCCTCTGAACTTCTAAAAAAATACAAAACCTCACAGAGCTGCGAGAGAAGCCAATAAGAAGTAAGGAACATGCAGCAGGTGGTACCATCTGTGCCCGACTAATTCCAGCCAAAACAATCTGCTCCCTCGAGTTCCCAGTTGTGGGGAAGGGAAGAGACTCTGACAGCGGCAGAGTCTAGGGAGGAGGTGGAGGAGGGCAGCGCGGAGTCTATTATTCCCGCGATCTGCTGGTGGGAGGAGGCAGGTTATTGATGCCAGTGAACTATTATCTCTGTCTTTTGCTCTTTACAAGCACGAAGGGAGATCCCTACAGTGTCCTTGCTAAGCTGGGAACTACATCCCACACCTGAGAGACAGGCCTGACTGTGAGCCCGCCACCACTGAGATGGGAGGGACAGATTGGCAAGTGCAGTCCACCCCTAAGTGAAAAAATAAGCAACAGGGCAGGGAGATGATGTTTATTTTATTCTATTTCCCTAGCAACCTAATGCCCTCTGTCTCCATGTTCATTCTTTGAAAATTACCCATAGCTTAAAATGGGCTTAGAGTCCACATGCTTTTACTCCAGAATGACATTTTCTGAAGCAAAGTCTTTGCAGTGGATCGACTTCCTTATGAAGAATCGATCTCCCTTGGCACACTTAGAACCAGGGAGTGAATAAATGTGCCAATTAAAAGATAAGTCAAGTTGTCTGTTTTTCCTTAAGAGAGGAACAGAAAGGCTCTGAGGGGGAGGATACCAACAGTTGGAGAATCCCAGGAAAATAAGTCTACTGAAAAGGTATTCTTACCCACTGAAAAAGTCTCACCAGTGCATTTAGGTTAAGGCACCATCTCAGGATTGTATTAGTATTTATTAAATGCTTATACCAATGAGGGATATTTACCTTCTTGCTTTTTCTTTGGCTAACTTATCTTTGCTATAACTGAGAGTTGAGCCCTAAAGGATGGGTGCACAGGCATATGCTGCGTCTAGAAAAAGGGGCACTCACAGGTCTAAAGGAACAGTAGGCTTAGA